ATGATGCGAAGGACTTCGACTGCATTGCCAGCTCTTGCTGTATAAGAAAAGACTTCACAAGACGGTGGCCCGCACGTGAGGCCCACGAGAGACTAAATAAATTGGGATCGTAAAAGCGCAGACGAAGTTCGGCAGTATACACACAGCAGATGGAGGGGCTCAGCATGCTCAGCAGAGGTTAGAAGACGGCCAGGATTCAAGATCTGTACCAGTCTATGGGTGCGAGAAAGTGTCGTACCATCTTTCAAGGTTGCAATGATGTCGCCAAGCTTAGCTACTTCACACCCTTGCGACATTTGTTTGCGCTAAGTTATACATGACTCAAAGGGCTACCGCTCACACGATGTCATCCAAAAACATGGAGCGACTGCCTTTGACGGTTCTTTTGTACCCACGGCCAGGTGTACATGTATGAGAAGATTGGCGCGAGAGTCTACTGGCCGATTTTCACTCCGAGATTGAGAGCCGCACTGCCGTACGCGGCAACAATCTTGTAGTCGCGAGAATAGTACGTAAGGATATCATTGACTGCAAAAAAGTGATGAAAGCTTGTTTATAGCCGCATGGTCAGCGGAACTGAGCACCGAGATGAACACAAGTTGTGAGCGCGCTCAAGGCCTACCGTACCGGGGCACCCTGTGGTGACCAAGCTCCGCACACATCAAGATGCACAGCACAAAACGACCCTGAGTTGACTGCCATTCGAGCATATAAAAATGCTGCGATTGACTTCGTTTTCCACTTGATGATCATGGGTGCTGGTTTTGGCAGTGCCAGATATGTTGTGCAGGAGTGCCATCGAATGGCAGTAAAACGGAGACCGGCATCATTGCTCAGCTTCAGACACCTGCGTCACTGCACGATGCAGTTACACTACCCTCGAACCGCTGGGTCTACTGGACTATGTACTACCCGTGGATTACGAGCATATCACGCCAGCCTCCCCAACGTGTCTAAGTGGAACTTGATCGTTTCCTTCACGGAAGACTTGATGTGCGCAACCGAGGGCCTCAGCACATGAGTGGTATTCCATGGTGTGAGCAGTTCTTGATGGGATCTTAGACATTCATGAACTGCACAGGAGAAAAAACACTCAGTGACCCTTCGTAGCGTGTGGCAATTAAATTGTAGCAGCTGCTTTGGCTGCAGTCGCGCTTCAATGACGCTGACAAACCAAACACCGATTCATATATATTAGACGCCCTTATTCGCGTATGAGAGGCGTTTAACTTTGGACCCGTAGGCTCTAACGTTCAGTAATACAAGCCGCGGCATGGCTTGGTAGGCCAGTCAGGTCACGCTCAAGTCCGAGTGTAGAGCCGCACTGCCTCTTAGACCTATGTGTCCTGTCCTGACGATATACTCATTCACAAGTCTCCATGACTAGCTCCCCCCTCCCGGCCTCGCCCCCCCTCCTCTTTTGCATCGCGGGAACTTTCAACTTTAACACACACAGACACACTTGGGTACAATACACAGGCTCGAGAGGATTTCGGACATAAACCACGACGTGACTTGGAGAGCGTAGTTGGATGAGCGATTGACCAGGAAGACGACATCAGTGACTTGTATACAAGGAAGTGTACAAATGTGTCTCACACAAAGCACGGCGCAATTCCTGTTATCTATGGGCAAGACTACGGCCCGCGTCATCCGTACACGTCTGTTGTGAACGTATACATGCGTGAATATACGCCAGAGTCGCTCAAAGAAACACCACTAGCGGATGGATGATGCCGCAGCCGCACGGCCAAGTATAGCAACAGGCTTCCGGCAAATACTATTAGTGGAAGCGCTACCCGTGCACGAGAGATGGCGGCAAACGTGACAGTCACTGTCGCTCTATACCAAAGATGAAGGCGAACACGATTTAGCGTTTCCCCTTTCTCGAAGTATGTAACATACATACAATGTAAACACTAGTACGCGTACGAGTCGAAACTCGTCCTTGTCCTCTGATGCATGATGCCGGCTGGCTACAACTTGATTGGATATCAACCGGTGCTTTACGTGCGAGAGAAAGGCTTCAAAGTTCACTTACATAACTGTGTTCCCTCAGCAGTGGGTATCACGCCCACGGACTCTCTGACTGAGATCGTCGCTGTCAAAGTGCGGTCAAAGGCTTGCCAACTGGGCGGTATGTTTTTACTCACCGTCAGACAGACTCATTGAATGCGATAGACACTGCGTCGAGTCGGCTTGAACCGGGGAACCCCGAAACCAGGTAACCCGAGTAACGACGTGCGAACAATGATGGCATGCTTTATAGCGCCCGCTAATACCGGCAGAATCTGGTTCAAGCGTCACAGCGGGGTAGCTCATGCCATTGGTTAGTATGGATTCGCTACTTCCGCGCCTGACAGAAGTCACTCACTGGGCTCTCTTACTGGATTGCAAAACCTCTTTGCCGGGTTGATACAAGTGCAGGGTGCAGCCCTCGGACTCCAAAGTCGGCATATCCAAGGAAAACTGGAGGCGCGGGGCCGAGAGCAGCCTTGACACATATCGACTTGCCGCAGCAGGGAGGGACATTTATAGGTCTCCAATCCGTGCTATTTCCGAGTCATGTGAACCCTCGTACGGGCGTACACGTCCTTATTGCGCATGCCAGAGTCATTCATAGCATTTCCATCCTCAATCAAGAGATAGGCACAGCTTCGATCACTCCCACTTCGCAAGGGCGATCGTCTGACCACAACGACCGGATCTCGGTCGTCACCCTAATAAGAGTATCCCAGCCTGTCAATGCACAGCCGGACTGTATGTGACACCAGGCTGTGCGTGTATGTGCCACATACGTCACTATCAAGAATGCGGCCGGGAAGGGGCATGCGAGACGGAATTTATCCTATTCGACGAGTTTTGCCAGAGCAGTGCAAGGCAGAGTCCTAGGATCATGTGTCTCCTGCGTTTAAAGCACAAAGAAATTTCCCGCTCCTTTTTCTTGCGTGTCAAACTACTCAACGCGCCCAATGCTTTCCGCATGCGCGTTGTCAGACCAACAA